AGCAGGAAAACCACCCTGCATAGAGGCTTTTTGAGAGCTTTCACCCTAGAAAGGATCAGAATTGGCATTGTTTAAGTCTAGAGAGAGGATTGATCCATGCCGGGGACCGTTCAGTCTAAAGGTTTAACGGCGCCTCCCTCTCTGCTGAGCTGTGAAGGCAGAGATGGTTGCACATGAAGGCCCATGTGGACTCATGGATGAGGAAGGAATTCATTCGTCCCACCTCAAACCACCCTTTTAGCTGCAACAAGCTGGGCATGATATCCTCAGGGCCCCTTCCCAGGGATGAGGGTGGCCCCTTGGCAAAGAGAGGGACTTTCAGCTTTTTTCTCTGCCCCTCCTTGAATTAAGGCAGTACAGGGCAGGCATAATCCTGGAAGAAGGCAGCTAATCTCAGAAACTAAGGTACTAAGCTCCATTTTGCCAGCCTTAGTGGCCCGTTGCTAGCCTCGATTCCTGTTGGCACAAGCATTTACTGAGAGCTGAAATCTGGTCTTGGGAAAATTAGTTTTCTGCTAACCTCAGTAGGGCCACTATGCCTGCCTGTGAGTTTCAGTGTAAATGTTTTAAGTCCAAAGACTGTGCATTTTGAGACCTGGATAGATGGAAACATTCCTAAAGAAACTCCAGAGAGCTGTTGGGAGCTCAGGGGGACAATCCATCCTCACCTACTGAGCAGTGAATGCAGTTTTTCCCTGCCTGGGAACGATGCGGGGAGGTAGAGGTCTGGGGCGTAGGGGTAATTCTTGGTTTTATTAGGAGGAAAAGCTTTCCCATGAACAGCAACATCAGTTGCAGTCTGCATTATATTTTTTAAATTTACCATAAACACAGTGGGCTGTTTTATGATCCCTCTTGTGGCATGAAAAAAAAATACACTTAGAAGAAAACCTCCCTCTGAGCCCACTTGGCTAGACAGATCCCCATGCATTGAGTTTCCTTGACCTTGGCATTCTCATTTCAAGATCCCCACTCTCTGCTTCCAAAGCCCTGTCTGTTACTTGCTTTTCTTGCTCCCAGAGCAGTTCTTTATTCTCTGTAGGGTCTATTTTGCTTTTTCCTTTCCTTTTTTTTTTTTCCCCCCCTCTTTTTTTCCGGGCAGAGCAGTTTCTTATGGCAGCCTTTCATGACTGCAGCAGACTTGGAGCAACCAACATAGACCAGATGTTGTCCATGTTTATAATTTGACAGGATGCCACAACATGGAGGGAGGTTCACTAACAATATGTTCTGCAAAGTATTTTCAGAACCACAGTGACGGCTGCCAGGAACTGAATTAAAGCAGTTTTCCCCCAGTGTCCATTATATGCTCGTTCTGCCTTCTCCATGTCATTTATTTTTGCTGTCGCAGTATCTCTGCACCTGCACTTTGTTGTACTGGAGCCAATCCAGCAAAAGTACCCACGAGACTGTCCCTTCTGCTCAAAGTCGTCTCTCAGAAGCTTCATAGAGATGGTATCTCCTCTTGCCCAGCAAGGAGCAGCAAACGCCGCTCACCCAGGCAGTGACACAGAGCAGATCTCCTGCAGCGCTCGCATCGGGCTGGCTCTGTGATGCAGTATCAGCCCCCTCCACCCCTGTGGTAAACCCAGGAGGTGGCTAGAGATCACCTCCAAAAAACCAGCAATGTTATCTGAGCGTTACGTGAGCAGGTTTCCAGGCTGCGCATGTTACAGCCCTGCCTGCCTGCCACCAGGTGTAGTCCTTTGCTCGCCGCTACCCTTTATTTTTCCAGCCTTGATTTATTTAACCAAGTGCGGTATAACAACTCTAGCGTAATAACTGGGAATCAGGCATCCACTGGACCGTTTCAGGCAGGTTGGGACAGTGTCTTTCAGCAATCAGAAGTAATCAGTCGCTTATTGACGTGTGATTGCCTGCTCGAGCCCCCGCCTGAGCTCTGTGGGCTTCAAATGCTTGCTTTGCTAAGGTCCTGTGGGGATGCTTCATGGATCTGAGTCTACGTTTGCCTTTCTTCCCTGCCCACACCAGTTTCTATCTACAAATCAAAGCCAGCCAAAAAAACGCAACCTACTGTGGATTTCTGGTGAAATACAGGGAATTTCACACAGTTGATTGAGGGGACTGCCTGTTCTGCGCTGTCCTGTGACTCGTTGCTCAAAGCTGATCCCAGGTTCACTTACAGAGATTGCAGATCTTTCAACAAGTCTGATATTCGCGTGGGTGAAAGTCAAACCTGAGTGTCCTGCGTGGTTTGGGGCTGTGGAAAGCTATGCCTCTGTCCCTCCCATCTCCTTTTGTGAAATATTGCCTACTTTGCCCTGCTTCTAGTTTCCCAGCCAAAGCAAATCCAAATCCTGGCTCACGTGCTACCAGGTTTCTCAAGCAGATGGCCTAAGGGGGGAATGCTGGTGCCTGACACAAAGCTGGTTGATAGGGACTAGATGCTTTGAATGGTGGGAGTGTTTCTGGATGACCTTCTCGCTCTGGGTTGGCTGACACCTCTCCAGGCTGAAGTCCAGGAAAACTTGCTACCGTTCATGAGGGTAGTTATTTCTTCTGTGAGTGACAGGGCTGAGAAGAGACAATCATTTAAAAGCAATCAGAGCTGTTGAGACAGCTGCACCGCTGGCCTTTCTGATCAGCTTGTTAATCAACAGGATACGTTTTACTGAGTATTAAGAAAATATATATACTCTGGCTGAGCCAGTTGGCAGCAAGAGACCTAATTTTTCATCTTTTTTTCTCATTTGTTTTGTTTGGCATTTTTTTGTTTGCTTTTTGTTCTTGTTGTTTGTTTTTTTTTATCCTGACCCTGTTAAATAGACCCTAAAGGACACAGAGGTGCCGAGGAGCAGCTAATACCACAGGGTAAGTCAATGCTATTTTCTCATTCAAAACGCAAAATGTTCCTGTGCCTGGTCCCATATGTGATGTGTCCCCAAAAGCAAAAGGGACCTGTGGCCAAGAGTCCTCAGGAATTCGGAGTCTCATGGGTGCAGAGAGGCTGGGTTTCTTCTACGGGTTTTGTCTGATCGTGAGTTGCTTCAGTTAGAGAGGCGAAATGCCAGCTTTGTCACCTCTGGGGCAGTCCCTTCCCGCAGTGCACCGGGGACGGAAAGTGCTGCTCGATGGAGACGCAGCTCACCGGAGGACACGTGGCTGGAGTGAGCGGGACACGTGCTGAGTGATGGGAGAAAACACCGTTATTAATCACATTGGTATTGCCTGCCAGGGGCGCCGAGAGCTGCCGGTGATGTTCTGGGCATGGTTTGCTAAGCTCCACACAAACAGAGAGTGCCCGGCTCCTGCACACAGAAAACCTTGGGGAAGGGAGCAGATGGCGTGTTGATGGCAGGTTAATGACAGGGCCAGGAAGAAAATCCAGGTCTCTGCGTGTCTGATTTAGTCTCCAGCAGTAGAATATTCACCCTCTGCCTTTTTTTTTTTTTCCATCCTTTTTATTTTTCCTGTGGCCTTTTCTTTCCTATTGGTGGAGGATGAATACTCGCCACAAGCTTCAGCTCTCTGAAAGCAATGCCACTGCAGCAGAGCTGATTAATGCCCACTGAAGATTCGCCCTATTCATTTCCCTCCCCCTTTTCCCCTGAATCCTTCTCCTCTTTCTTCTCCCTTTTGCGCTTGTCTCTTTTATGCTGGTAACACCATTTGTCACCAGCATGAGCATTTGCCTGACACGTTACTCAGTGCTGCTTCTCCTGGTCTTTCCTTCAGCGCTTTCCACCTTCAGGGTAGTAAGTGCCAGTTTCTTTAAAGCTCCACAGCAGCGGCGTGGTCGAGGATGCTAGCAGCAAACGATTGCTCTTGGTCTGCAGAAGTTCGCAGGATTGAGTTATAAAGGTTGAACTGAAGGATTGAGGCTGATTTATACAAGCGAGGAAATGCTTGGAGTCACACTCAGCAGCACAGCGCGTTGTGCTTGCAAAAGTGTTTCTGCTCTTCTTCCCTCTGTGCTGGAAAAATAATGAAGTTTCCAGGTGTGTTGAGGGTCCCAGATAAGGGGCAGAAGCTTTGCAATGCTTTGAAGAAATGCTCTGTTTCTCTTAAACGGGCTCCTGATCACCTGCCTGAGCTTGCCAAGTTCAGCATCATCTGTCAGATGAGATCCATTAAAGGAGCCCCTCAATGCACAGAAAAGTCTGCAGTTTGTGTGCTATGGGTAAGCAAATTGATCCAAATTAAAACCTTACCGTAACTCCTTGTTCAGTACACAAATTAAATCAGATCTTTATCGATGACTGAGTAAAACAAAAGTACAGGCACGCGCTCGCACACAAAGCCTTTGAAAAATCTGATTTTTTCAGTCTGTCCTGTTTCACCATGGGTTAGAGATGGGTGGATTTCATGTCCATAAGAAAAAAATAAATTGAAAATCCCTCCAGAATAGCAAAAATAGCAGAGAGGAAGGGGAACCTTTCAAGGGGGGTCTCATATTGGGGGATTATTGCTTTCTTCTGAGAAATGCAGGGAGTTTGGATGAACGTTTGGGGGGACAAGACTTTATGCCCCAGGTGAGTTATCTCACTGAGGGTGGGAACTGCATTTCAATGTGGAGCTGCAAATGCCATGAGCCGTGGTTTTTATTCTGTAGCCTGATTCCCTTTGGTACCAGCTGTGGAGGTGCTGGTGACCAGCTTGTTCCCTTTCTTTCTTCTCTCCCCCTATTCCCATCCATTCTTCTCCACTCCCTACAAGCAGCAAGTTCTCCTGGCACTGCTCTTGGAGGGTCCCCTACCTCTTCTGATACCAAGGAAGGGGAAAGACACTGCTTAAGAGTTTATCAAAACTTAATTTGCGCTCCGCTAGGTTATGGTCATACATAACATGCGGACTGAAATTTGAAATTTGAGTGCACCGATCTTTGGACTCGGATCTTCCTCTGGCTTTGTCACTTGCATCTGCCACTGGTTTCAAATACTCAAAGTCCTTTGGTAGCCCAGAAACCAGGAACCTCTCAGTCTTTTGGCTCTGACAGTTAATGCCTTTATTGTAGCCATTAACCACTTAATCTGAGCAGACAGATTAACTCACTCACCTCTCCAAGGTATTAAAGGGTTCACTGATGTTTGCACAGTGTTTGTGTCTCTTTCCAAAGCAACTACTACTTTTATGAGGCAAGGTTTTCTGAAAAACACTATAAAATTGCCAAGTGTTGTTATTATTTCGATAGTCTAAAGAAAACAACATTAAGATTTTATTTACTGTCATCAGAAGCAGTCCCTTTCAGATTCCAAACGTGGCCTGCACCTTTCTGAGGTTTACTGGGGTCTGAGCAGGATTGCCAAGAAGCATCCTGCTGGGCTGCAATCATTGTGTTGCTGGGTTTGCTCAGCACCCTGTTCGTCGCTAGAAATTAGTGACATGTAGTTACTTCAAAAGTGTGGGTGCATTAGCTTCGGGTTGGAATGTACAGCACAGTACACTTGCTAGGTGAGTGAAAAGAGGAGAAATCAGGGAAACATCTGTGATGCAGAATCTCTGGGTGGTACATATAGATCAGCCAAAGTAAGTGGGAGGCAGGCTCTGATTTGCTTTTGCAAATACATGTTGTGTATTTTGATGCTTTGGGACTGCCGTGGAGCTGGCATGTGTGCCTCAACAGCAAAGGAGTGCTTGAGGGACCTGCCCGACCCTGCCCAGAGCCGTTCAGACCTTGGGAAGGGGGGACAGTGTGGGCTCAGTTGAGCTTTGACCAGCACCTTCCAGCTGGAAGTGGACAGACTGATGACATTTTGGAGTGGGCCTCGTGCATGAGGACATGCTTGCTTCTTTAAAGTTTGGAGGGAGAAGAGGAGAACGAGGTCCAATCTGGCCCTATGTACCAGCCGGCTCTTGCCACCACTCTCTCTGTGCAAAGCTGCATTTCTCCCCCTTGCATCTTTGAGTCCCTCCCCTTTGGTTGCTTTTGGTTGGACCTCAGAAGTGTCCTAACCTCCCTCTAATTTCCTTTCTAAATGTTTTCAGGGCTGCCTGGACAGGTTGGTCCTCCAGGCCCCGTCGGACCAACTGGTCTTCCAGGACCACCAGGACCAAAAGGAGAGAAGGGACAACCCGGTGAGAGGGGCCCAGCAGGGCCACCAGGTAAGTCCTGGAGGAGGGCAGTGCTACCACGATAGGAGAGATTTCACTTTATGCAAATCGTCTGTGACAACAGATCGTGAAAGGACTGGATGCACAGGATGTTGAACATCTTCAGCTGGTACTGAATCCATTCCAGCGAGTCCCCTGGTCACTGAAGCCAGCCAGCAGCTCTCGGAGCAGACAACCACTGCAGTCCCAGTCCCTGGGGTTTCCCGTGGAGCTGAAGAGAGCTCGTCCCGGAAAGCTGCAGGGTTGTGTTTCCCCTGTCCTGCTCAGGAGCTGTAAAAAAGTCTCTGATCTGTCAGCCTTTGGAGAAGAGCCTTCCCTGTTAAACCCTCTTGCTGTGCACTTGTTGTAACTCCCTTTTTTCTCCACCGTTTGTGTCAAGCTGTCAGATGCCAGGATGTCAAACTAATGATGCTTTTGTATGTTAAGGGAAAAGGTTATGAGGCCATTCTTTCAGAGTACACTCCATTCCTGAGCTAGGAGACTTTCTTTATCCCCAAAATGTTCTTAAGCCTTTTGAAGAAGGTGATGCTGCACAATAGGTGCCAGACCTCAGACTCCGTGCTTTGTATCTGTGTAAAGGGCTGTGCCTTGTACCTGGAGCTGTGCCTTAAATGTGAGAGCAACTCTGAACCCTTTTTTGCAGCCTGTCAATGGCTGAAGTCTGGCCAAGGACATTTCTACTTTTTGGTTTTTCAGTTTGCAACGAGAGCCTTCGAGGCCCCCAGGATGCAGAATTGGTCTGCTCTTGGGCTGACTGGGCTTGTACATGTTTTTTCTGTGCCCTCCTGGCAGGAAGGTGACGTACAGGTGTATGTGGAGGGGAAAGGGAGGAGCGGAGCTTGATTTCCCACTTTGCTGCCTTTATTTTCTTGCTCAGCCTCAGGGAGGGGGAAGATTTTACTCTTTCAGGAATGAAGCCTCGCAGCACCTTTGAGACAAGGGAGGTTATGTGCTGTGCAGAGGACAATGCTAAAGGCAAATGATGGAAAATTGGGAAGCTCTCCTGTTTTACCCCGGACCCTTAATTCCCACAATCACAGTTCAGGACAGAAGTTGCTGCCTTGTTACATGGTAGCATCGTTAGCACATCTTCAAATGCAGTAACGCATCCTCTCCTGTCCCTCCACAGGGCTGTTGGGGCCTCAAGGACCAAGAGGACTTCCAGGAGAAATGGGGATCCCAGGTCCCCCGGGTCCTCCTGGGCCACCAGCCACCCCAAGCCTCCCTCTAACCTTCCAGCAAGGGGTTCTGTACTCACTCCAGCCCACAGCTGAAAAAGAAAGTAAGTTTCCTCCTCGGTTCTCATTTTTTTTCTGGTAACATCAGCAGAATGGGCAGGCACAGAGCAGCTCAGCTCTTCCCTGCTAGGCACTGCCAGGGTCTTGCCTTCCCTGGGAGCAGCTGGACAATGTGCCTCCGTTTTGTGGGTCTCTTGGGAGTTCTGGTTCAAGATGAAAGGCATAAGACTTAGAAGGTGGAAGGGATTCAGCTCTCCAAAGTGAGGAACTAAGTCACTTCTCTTTGAAAACCATCAGTGAGAACAGGGTTTGAGGGATTTATGGTTGGTTCCTGTGCTTGGTTTTCTGGGTTTGTCATAGCTTCGAGGAGTCAACTTCATGTCCTTTAAGCCTCCATTGTGAGAAGGATCTCGTAAAAGCCCAGACCTCAGCAGCATTATGAGAGACAAGTGGATAGAGAACTGTAGAGGTCTCACTGATGAGGTGCTGGTGCAATGACACTGGACTGTTGAGAGACCTCTTGGTGCCGCTGTTGCGGTGTTATAGTGCTCAGGGAGGCTCAGAAATGAGCAAGTACCAAAGGTTTGCAATTCTGGAATTATATAACATAACAAGGACATCTGTTAAAGGCAGCTTTCTTCCTGTCCTCGCAGATGCATCTTCAGCCTGCGTTTCTGGTGCATCACCATTATCCCACATCCACATAGAACACAAAATTATGGGCTAGAAAGCCCAGAGCAAGACTGTGATTTATCCTTTCCCTGTAACTGGAGGGTCAGGGTTTCTTTGAGCCTGTTGTGATTTAAAAATAGGTTTGTTAGATTTGTGCTGTGCAGGACAGGAAAAGGCTTTCTAGGAAAGACACATTGTGCGCTTTTATCTGAGTGCTGATGGAACGCAGCTTGATTCTTCTGGTCCAGTCTTGTGTAGCTGACATCTAGTAATGAAAAAGCAGAGCTCAGCTGTATCTCTGCTTGGCTTGGGAGTTCCCAGAGCCCCGGCTGTGTGGGGTCTCCCAACTCTACTCCCCCAGCCTTCAGGTCTACCTCTTCCCCAGCTCTTCTGCTCACAGCCAGCTTCAAAACTCAGCTGTATTAGTTACGGCTGAGGATTAGTAAGTCTCCCTCTGTCCAACAGTTTTCCAGGGCTCCCCTTTCCCTTCCACCTCCTCCACTCTCCAGGCTCCCTTTCCCGGAAGTGAACAGATGTATTTTTAATTTGGAAAGAATTTTAACAGCTCGATTTCAGCATGTGGGCAGGGTGAAATTAACTGTGGTTCAATAGCAAGATTCTTCATGAGATGTCGAATGAGCTGCTGCGTTCACGAGCCCTTACAACGAGAAAGTTTTGCGTTAGAGCTGCCTCACAGCCTTACAGGATCACACCACTCTGCGTTCAGCCTGTTAGTGCAAAGGATCCTTCAGGAAGGTTTGGGTACTGGTACTGCCCCCTCCCTCCACCCACCTTTTAAATCAAGCTCTTTTTTGCATTTTGTGATTAAGCAAAATGCATTTTTGCAATTAAGCTCTTTAGTAGATAAATTAAAAAGTGTATAAAGGCACCGATTATGTGGACTTTGCAGCTAATGTGTGAGAATGATGAACTCGGACTTGTCCCAGAATGGGGAGCGGATAAATGGGTGGATAAATACCTGTATAAACTCCGCCAACACTGGGCAGCAACAGGCTCCTATGTGGACTTGAGGACCGTGACCAAGTGTTGACTGTTAAATCCCTGGAGCAGCCCTGTACTTCTCTATAGCTGTGGTAGATGTCTTGGGTTGCAGAAGGAGTGGCCCAAAACTTTATGACAGTTTTCCTCATTTTAAAAACATTTCTTAATACAAGCCTCGCTGCAAGTATAATTTATCTATGTGATCGTGACGATATCAAGACCATTTTTCTTACGAGACTCACCGTTTTGCTTATGTGTCGTCTGATTCTGCCTGGCACAGGTTGGTGCAAAGCCGATCCTCCACAACCAATAAAACTCAGCTTTGTAAATTGTGCGTAGGTAGAGTTTATTTATTTATTTGTTTGTTTGTTTATTTTGACTGGAGCATATCTGAAAACTATAAACGCAAGATTCCGGCTGCTGACAGCAGAGGGAAGCATTTTCCTGGTAATGGGCATGTGCACCCCTGGAGATGTGAGAAAGCTGTGTGAGATTACTAGCAGTAGTGCAGTGTTTGGTTCTGCCTGAACATGGTTAATGCATGTGCCTTTATTAATCACAAGTTCCTCTTGGCAATGTTTATCAGCAGGCAGATGCCAAAAAAGGGGAGACAAATATTTTCTCACAGCTTCACTGTGCTGTGGCAAAGAAATTGGTCCCAGTTGTCTCCCTCCAGATCAGGTAGCAGAAAAAAATTAAGACAGGATTACTTCATTTCCATCCTGTCTCGACAAATCAAGCCTATAATGGGGGAATTTATCCCTTAGAAACATTAGACGTAGGCCAGAAGCTAAACTGCCATACCCTGCTGCTGCTACAAGGATCACTTGCTTTCTCTGTGACTTAAAAATAGGTGGATCAGATATCTGGTCTAGAATCAGCTCAATCCTCTCTGTCGTCCTGAAGCTAAGACAATTTTTAGCCACAAGGGAAAAGAATTAAACTTTGACTGTTTTGAGGGCTGTGTTTTCTTAACTTTTCAAATATTTCAGTTTGCAAAGTACACATGAGATAGCATTAATCTGTTTTGCAGGGAGAGCAAGGGGAAACTGAGGCACAGCAGGCTTGCCTGTGTGCCCAGCATGTCACTGGTGAAGAAGAGCACAGAACAGAGGTTTGTAAAGTGACATCCCAGTGCCCCTGGGATGCCTTGCCGCGCTGGCTGGGCAAGTTTCTTTGCTTCAGTCGGGGCGTTTCTGTGCTGTTTGAGATTTCCCCTTTGCAAGATGTTTGTGCTGTCTTGCAGAAGATATAGGTGCTCATATCTGCCCGGGTCAGACTGGTTGCACTCTTCCTTTTGGCTTGGCTAGAAGTTGGAAAGCTGCTGGAGCAAATTGTGTGCCAAGGTCTTCTCAGATGAGGCAGGCGGCTCTCTTACCTCTCTTACCTGCTGCTTTGGTGTATCCAAAAGTACTGAAACGAAATCCAGCCCTTGAGCCCAGCAGAGCTTGGGTCAGCGCAGGAGAAGGGGAAACTCCTGCTACCATTTATACTGGGACTATTTTGTGGCTGCTGTAACGGACTCCAGCTGCAGAGAGCCCCGGGGTGCCCCCCTGTTCATAAGGAGAGGGGAGTTTATGAGGAGATACGAGTTCCGTGAGGGTTGTGTTTTAACACGCTTAATCCCGTTTTATTCACAGTATGTTTCCTTCAGAGCTCATCCTGGAAGGAAACCTCAATCTGAGTGAGTTTTGCCTGGCCAGGCAGCTGAGGAAGGAGCCACGCCGGATTTCCTGCGTGTCCATACCCCTGTGCTGTAGAGGCCAAACCAGGAGCTGCTGAGCTCCAGGGCTGTCGAGCAGAGCTCTCTTCTGTGTCACTGTTGTGGAGTCACCTTTCAAAAATAACTTCCAGTCCGATGTTAGGATGAGTGGATTTGAGGGAGTAGCTCTTGTCACCGTAATAATATACCACTTAGCTGGAATGTTTTGAAACCCAAATCTTTATCCCTAGCTTACCTCCAGCAGTAATTAAACCCTGGTTGTTTGCAGCCCATCCTCTCCCCCTCTTAGTGGATGTGCATTTGATTTTGTTGACCGCTGCTTCTTTAAAAACAAAAGGCTCTGCAATCGTTAATGCCACCACTGCTGTTTGATGCTCATTTCCCAATTTCATCTTACTCCCAAGCCGTGATGGATTTTGACATGGTCAAATAAAACTCAAATTAATTGGATTACACACTTCACTTGGGTACCTTTCCTTCTGAACAAGAAAACAGTCTCAGTTGTTTTGTTTCAGGGCTGTGAAGAAGGGAAGATGGATGGGGTTAGAAACAGTAGTCAAAGTAATACCTGTTTGCATTCAGGATTTAGGTACAAAATTTGGTTCTCGGAGGGATCTGGGTTGGATCTCGAGCTGCTCTGCAGCCCGGAAGGCATTGCAGAGATACGCTGTCGTCCTTGGCAGTTAAAGAGATTTCAGTTTTCCCTAGGAACTGCTTTCAAACAACCAGCTTGAAAGTCCTCTCTGTCATTGCCAGTGCTCCAGAAGTTGAAAAGGCTTCGCGATGTGTCTGCTGACATTTCTGGAGATTTCACTTTATGTCCTTTGGGCTGGACTCTGCAGAGTAAGGAAACACCTTTCTGATCTTCCTGGTGTCACTTGATAGTTGCATCAGTGCAGCAGCAAGACATTTGCAGGCTTTTACTGCAGAGAGTTCCCCTGAATTTTACTGTGTGAGTTGAAGGGATGGGTGAAAGGAAACACGAATAACTTGGAGGTCATGGGCAGGAGATGATGAACATTATTCCTGCATAGTGGCCTCCAGCTATAGACAATGTGGACTTTTCAGAGGGTTTAGCATCCCAATGAGCAGGAGCCAATGTCTTCATTCAGGTTAAATGGATGCACCAAGGCATGGGGGTTCCCTTCCTTGCTTTGTGATCTTGTTGTCTTGGTTGGTCATGGAATTTTTCATCTTAGATTTCCACAACTGTTGAGTAGTGTTGTGGGATGCTCATATGAAAGATGCTGCCAATTACTAATATGCTACACTAGGGGCCCATAGGGAACAGGGTTGTTGGATATGGTTTTGGAATTGCAGTGGGGGATATATATATGCATCCAGTGTGTGTATATATATATACACATCCAGTATA